ATTGATACGGTACTAGAAGATACTCCTGATGCAACTCTAATAAATTGCTAAATACTGCCAGCAGAGAATGTTAATGAATAGAGAAGTGCAAATGTTAAGTGTAATCTTTTGTGTACTAATTTGTAACCAGATAGGGAACAAAAAAAAAAATACACCACACAATGTGCGAATTGCTATAAATAGACATAACGAATATTCCAAATGAAAAATCGTGCGCATACCTATTTTGATTATATGTTTCAATTTCTATGATAACAAAATTTATAATTATGAAAAGCCTTCTGAATAAAAAGCTGTATTACCGGTAAAACCCCAGAATTCATAATAAAATAAACATTTAAAATGCAATTTTTCCATTTTTGTATGTGCGTTGCGTAAGCAATATGCTTATTCAACAAAGGGTAATAATAAAACTATGCTATGCTAAAGCGATCGCGGTTCTACTTTTGTGGTGGCTTATGTCGTAAGCGTGAAGGAGTTAAGCTCAATCCGAATACGAGCATATAAGTTCGTATCCTACAACTCATGAAACTTAAATTATATTTAATTTTTTTATTTTATTAATTGGAATCTAAGCATATCTCAATTCAATTACTTTAATAGCATATTTTACTTCCTGAGATAATTAAAATATTTCAGGAAAATAGGTTCATATGTTTAGGTTTATTGAATATTTCCCTATTATGCGTATTTACACAAATGTGATAATCACACATACGTTCTTAAATACACGTACGCTGATGATTGCTTCTTCTTGCTCCGCACAAACAATGACTTTTGTCTACACTTTTTGCTTTTTGCGAGAAGCAAGTTAACCGATTGCAAGCAAGGTGGGGTTGGGGCGCACTGCCACATAATTATATCAATATATTTTTATTAATCGATTATTTAAAACAATTTGTATTTCTAAATATTTTACATAATTAATTATATCGAAAAAAGTCATAAACATAGATTTTCAATACAAATTAAGCAACAATATATAATATGAGCCCACTTGACACGCCTCTGTGCATGGTGCAAGCCAAGGAAATAACGGCGAGTTCGCGCGGACATTGTGTTGTTGAAAAACCAAATGACGACTTTGTCGACAAATATAAACATATATACATAGGAGCTCGCATACATATTGACGCCAATTTTGCGAATCGTCGCGGAGAACAAAATTTGTTTAATCGACAATTTGACGACAATGTCGGTCCGCTATTGTCTCGTTTGTCCTTTTGCAGTGGTTTGCTTTGAAAGTTGACTTAGCCCTTTTGAAATACTGCGATTACGATTGGGGTGCATTTTATAGCGTCGTTTTAGATAAAAGGAAATCGATAAACTATGAAACAATGATAATAAGTAAACATATAGAAGTACTATATGGACTGCTTAGAATATACAGAAGTAGTTAAATATTTCATATTAGGCAATTTTACATATGATAAATTGTATAATTTAATGCATATATAGTGCATAATATGAAAACAAAATATTATTTTAACTCTAACTAACTAAAGGTCATGTCCAATTCTCCTTCCTGAAGGAATACAGACAAATTCTCAATTTCTGATTTTACCATCGTCGTGAGGAAGCAGCTTGTAAGCAACATATAAACGCGAAGGGATAGGTAGGATTTTCAGTGGTGGTTGTCAAATTTTAAAATATAATTGTTCTCGTTTTACTGAAATATTCATCAAATTCAATTTCATTCATTAATTTAAATTAATTTCGCACATTGCACAGCTAACATTTGCCCTTCTATTCATTAACATTCTGGTCATACAAATCACTAAATCATGCGCGATCATATATACACTGAGTGGCAGCTCAAAAGACTAGCTTGTAGCTATTGTTAACGGCTAGCATGGAGTCATTTACGTCATAATTTTAAAAAATAATAATATATAAATAAAATAAAACTTTCTATACAATTAAAATAAAATAAATGTAATAAAATGGATAAAAAATATTGCGGTTTGTTGTAGCACGACACGTGAGCCACCCGTACGTAGGTATGTACGAGCGTAGCTCTAATGCTTATGTCTAAATAAGTGATATTGAGGCACAAATAATTTCCATATAGTGCCCTCGAAAAGGTATAATTGATGAAACAAATTACAAACATATACGAGAAAATGTTTATGGATTTTATAAAATTTTGTCAAATAATAACAAAATATTACTATTAGCTGAAACTTTAAGAGTCTATAAATATAAATGTCATAAAAGGTAGAGCCTTCGGCAGGCTGTAATGAAATCAAAGAAGCTCTTGAAGAATGTGATTATGACAATAAAGTGAGTAATATTTTCAAAAGAAATAAAGTACCATAACCAAAGTTCAAAATTGAATTATGACAAATGCTAACCGTCTTAAGAATATTGAAACGCATCCGATATACAATTAAAAATAACTGCTGCGAAGAATTACCGTTGAAGAACTAACCAAAACTAGTCCATCAATTTCAGGATTTAAAGAAGGTGCTTCAATGTGGTGATGCAAACAGCATAAATTATGCAAGACTGCTGTGACGACAATTATTGATTGCACTTTTGTGCAATTCGTTCGTATACCTAAAGACAGTATAGGAAATCTACGTTTCCAGACATCGTAAGAGCGTTCAATTGGATTTCTAGATCGAATATGCGATTCGTTATATAATCTTTCAGCTGGGCTGTTGACGGAATGAAGGAGAGTTAAAATCCGCTGATTGTTTACGTATCCTTTATCAGCAAGCACTAGTGTATCTCCAAATTCTACAGATTCAAGACGAGAAAT